AGACAAAAAGATCATGTCATTTGCAAAGAAAAGAAAGTCAGATCGGCAATCAGATTTCTCAGCGGCAATATACAAAGCAAGACAACAGCACAGCAAGATTTTAAAGAACTCAAGGGAAAAAGTGTGAACCAAGCATTTTATATCCCGCCAAAGCTGTCATTTAAGAGTTAAGGCTAAAAAAAGTTTTGAACATGCAAAAATTCAAGAATTACCATACTTACAAGCCTTTCCTGAGAAGTTTACCAGAGATAAGCTTCATCTATCCAACAAGTATGGGGAAACTTCAGCAAAAAGAATGATAGTAAGAATGGGATATACTTTATTAAAACTAAAACAAGAATGAGGACAAAGATGGAAAAATGATTTGTAAATGTTATATTTTCAAAAAAGGTACAAATGATGCAAATTTTAAAATGAGAGAAGAAAGGAAGAGAAAAAAGAAAAAGTAAAACAAGTTTGTTGACTGTCACTTAATTAATAAGTACAGGCCAGGTATGGTGGCTCATGGCTGTAATCCCAGAACTTTGAGAGGCCAAGATGGGAGGATGGATTGAGGCCAGGAGTTGAAGACCAGCCTGGACAACATAGTGAGATCCTATCTCTACAAAAATTTTAAAAAATTAGCCGGGCATGGTGGCACACACCTGTAGTCCTAGCTAACCAGGAGGCTGAGGTGGTAGGATAGCTTGAGCCCAGGAGTTCAAGGTTATAGTGAGCTATGATTGCACCACTGCACTCTAGCCTGAGTGACAGAGAGAGACCCTGTCTCTTAAAAAAATAAAAACAATGTAGGAATAAAAAGATATTTAAATCTGGCAAATAAAAAAAGTAGAAGGTTAAGTAGGGAAAGGGCAGATCAAGAACATGATAAACAGCATTAATATAATTAATAGAACAAAAAGTAAAAGCCTGCTGGAATACCAAAAAATATACAGTCACATACCCACATATACACTTAATAAAACAGATCATAGAGAAAGAACCTGAAAATATAACAAAATAAGGAGACATTTGAGACCAAATATGAAAGTCATATCAATAAATGTAAATGTGATTAAGTTAGCTATTTTTTAAAATTTCAAATTGGCTCACAGAGCAAAATCAACTCTACACTGTATATATAAGACATATTTGAAACAAAATAACTCAAAAGTTAATAAATAAATGTATGGGAAAAGGTATACCAAGCAAATGAAAACAGTAAGATAGCCGGGGTATGGGCCTGGTATCCAATAAGGAAAATCCAAGGGAAAAATAAGTGAATGTAACAGAAATGAAACACTTCATAACTTTTAGAATTAACAGCACAATAAAAACATAACAGTTATTAAGATTTATGTACCAAATCACACAGCAAATGTGCCTTCTTAAAGCAAAAACTATGGGAGATAAAAAGAGAAATACACAGAAATCTACTAATAATAGACTTTCATCTAGCATTGTTCTCATATTAAGACAGATCAAGTTGGCAAAAAAAATAAGGAAAGAAAAGACCTAAACAACCAATCAATAAGGTCAATCTTATAGATATCTACCAAATTTTTACCTTGATAACACAAAATAAACTACTTTCTGAAGTACACATGGAACATTCATGAAAAGTGATATTAGATCTCAAAGGATAAAAGTCTATAAAGTAGAAATATAAACATTTTCTGATTTCCATGCAATCTAACTATAAATATAAAAATAATTAAAAATCCCCAAACCTCTACCACCAGGAATTTTTCAAAATCTATTAAACAACTCTCAGACTAAAGGAGAGATACCAACTAAAATTGCAAATTTTCTAAAAGAAATAATGAAAATACTACAAATTGCCACTACGCTCCTCTTGATGTTTTGCACTGAGGAGAATAATACATTATCTGTGTAATATTCCTGCCAAAAATGTTTAACCTGCATATAATGTTGATGAAACTATCAGACAAATCTCCAAATTGAGGGATATTTTACAAAACAACTGGTTTATTCTCTTCAAAAATATCTGACTTGAATGCCCAAATTTGGCTACAAAACAGGTCTACATAAAAGGAGACTAAGAAAACATTAAAACTAAATG